CTCGTCCCTATGTATGCTTAGATCTTTAAAACTGCGCAACGGATTTTGATGCGAGTTCTTTTAATAGATAGACTGATTCTTAAGGAACGTATATATGTATAATTTCTTTTTTATTTGTATTTTCGATTATTGAGTTTAGTTTAGCCAAGAATTTGTTCATTTTTGTTTTTTACTTTATGATTTTGTTATAATTGGACGTAACATAGATTTGGTTTAAGGCCTAGCTATCGCAATGGAGAAACTTGTCATGATAGTTTAGGTAAGGTTTTATATAAATAAATAAATAAATAAAATAGTAGGTATATTTACATAAGCATTGCACCCGTGCGAAGCCGGCCCGGGTCGCCAGTAATTTATAAAAAAACAATTATTTCCAGATCGTCTCAAAAATATTTCAGTTTGTACTAGGCAATAATAATTGGGTAGTTTCCTGGGTCAAAAATTAATTATTTTGAATTTTCAATATTGAAAAATGTTTTATTCATTGATTTTCCGATATACTTAATTTTCGATTAATTCTAACATTTTTTTTAGATATAAGTGTGCTATTTGACGCGTAAATATGATGACGTCATAAGATGTTATAGTCCATCTGTTTAGGTAATTAACTAAAGGTAAACAAAGAAAACCACGTGACACAGAGATACTTAACCTACTATTACTTCAAATATTTCTCGTGTTTTAATTTTCACTAAATTCACTTTAAAATCGTTAATTTGTCATACACACACATACAAGTACAAATGCCTAAATCGTACAAGAGCCTAGCCTATGGGTCTATTTCATTATCATGTTTAAATAGAAACTATTCTGAATCTGATGTACGGATTTCTTTCTTGTGCGGATATCTGTCTTTGGGCCAAGTTTCTTCAATATATTTGAACACATTATTTACAAACGATGAATAACCTAAACTTAAATAACTTAACAACAAAAACAAAACAAAGAAACAAGTTAAATTCAACAAAATAGGAACGCGAGCGCAAACGACGAAAGAGCTGTCAATGGCGCCTGATTAACCGACTAAACGTAATACACGCTACTTTCATTGTCGCGCCACATCTTAGTTGTACTCTTTAATTTGACAACATTATTTTGCTTCGTTCTTTAAAGAAAGGTTTTGGATACCGGGGATTTTAGGCTCTTTATGGTGTCTATTGTAATAAAATATTATATTATTTAATAAATGTTATTAAATTAATATCCTCAAGCAGATATATATAATATTTACTAAGAAATAAGTGAAAAGGAACAGAAATATAACATTTAATAGAGAAAACTGTCGTAAAAAGGGAAACAATTTTATTTTCTTATGAAGTATTTTGAATCATGGAAATGTCAACTATAAAGAACTCTTTTTATGGTTTGTTTACAAATAGTTAACTACCTAAACAGACGGAGTATAGGTATTTCGTACAAAATTCATAGAACAGTATCGTTTTTACGTTTCGATAAAAGTATTGAATTTAACTAGTTATCAATTACTGTATTGATTGCTGTTGATATTTAGCGAAACCCGAGCGAGACCTAAACTGTAATGACCGATAACGATTATACCTATTATAATGATAATTATCATTTGAAAAGCAAACAATATTAGACTAGTTTCATTCTATTAATACATTATCGCATTATCTGCTTCAAAACAGGTCTAAATCTTGATTTGAAAGCGCCACTGCTTAGGGTAGGGTCCTAGTGTACGCGAGAGTTTAATAAATAATAAAAAGTTGTGTGTAAATTGGGTAGTTCAAGTAAATTATTCCGAATGTTCAATACAATAAAATATTAAAAAAAATATCACACTTCCATTATTATTATTACATGATTTTATGATCAACTTAATTTTAGTATTTTTCTAGCAATTTTTTAAGAAATAAGTATGTTGTTTGACGCTAAAAAACATGACGTCACAATACAGAATCTTGTACAAAATTCATAGAAAACTCTTGTTTTTGACAGTTCGAAAAAAGTATTGAATTTGACAAGTTGGCAAGTACCCAATTAGGCGCGCATGCATATGGCGTGAGCACTCTCTTTCGCTTTATTGAGTGACATAATCCAGAGTGATATATAGTGAAGGGATAGAAATAAACGTATATCTTAGCTTATTCTATTACATAAAACTGAAGCGTTTGTCTGTTTGTTTGAACGCGCTAAACTCAGGAACTACTGGTCCGATTTGAAAAATTATTTTTGTGTTGGATAGCCTATTTATTGAGAAAGGCTACAGGTTATAAAACATCACGCTGAGATTAATAGACGCCGAGCATAGCGGTTGCAACCGCACGGAAGTAGGAAAAGTATGAAATAACGCTATTTAGTGCAGCTAGATGTAATTTTATCTTTACCCTGTAGGTACACATACACTGGTACACAGTTATTCAGAAAAAAATCCTTTCTGAACACAATATACACATCACATCATCAGCCTATAAGTAGCCACCGCTGACCAAAGAATAGAAAACATTAATCGCCACGCTTGCTCAATGCGTTGGCGATTTCAAACTTGTAATTACAAACAATAAGCCCAGGTGTCCTGATGATGTTTTCCTTCACCGTTTGTCAGTGGCATCTAAATAATCTTAGAAAGTACATATAACTCGGAAAAAGTCACATAGGTACTTGCCGTTAGTAGGTTTCGAACCAGCACCCTCATGCATGAGAAGCAGGCATCTTGAGTCACCACGAGTATTTAATAAAAATAGTAATAAAGTAAACTAATTAATAATTATTGAAATATTTTATTATGACACCATTATTATTTATTTATATTTTGTAATCATGTTCGTTCGAGAGGAGTGACGCATGCGCAGTTGACGTCACAAAACCACTGAGACGCGCGTCTGTGGTCGATTATCTCGCAGGTTATAATAATAGGTACGTAACACTAGGGCTTCTCAGAGTTAAATAAGAATGTTTTTCTGTTGTTTCGGGTCTGGGTGTCATGTGTATGTGAAATTGTATGTTTGTAAACCCACCCACGACACAGGAGAAAATCTTAGTTTCCAACGTTTTTTAACTAGACTCAGACTACTATAGTATAGTATAAAGCTAGTAATTTTTATCAGTATAAAGCCTTTTTGTTTGTTTTTTTTTAATCGCACCAATCTCAGGAACTACAAGTGCAATTTGAAACATTACTTTTTTGTTGGATAGTCGAGGAAGGCTATATGCTATAAAATATCACGGTTCGATTAATAGGCGCCAAGAACCCAAACTACGCGGAAGTAGGTAGTAATATTTAATATTATTCCTCAGATACAATTAATCTTCGAAAAAGTCCGCCCTTACAGCAGCTTTTATGCATGTAAAACGATATAAAAGTTGTATTCACAATATCTGATGTAACCCGCTCGCTGTAACTTGCACCACACCTTTATAAACATTACTTCTGATTTATCAATGTTTACTATGAAAACTCTATTTGTTCTCACTTAAAAAATACCAATACCAAAAAAAATGTATTATAAAAAGCTTAGGTATAAAACTGCCTTATTATTGGTTAAGTGTCGCATGTGTAATGTGCACCTCTGCCTACCCTAAAACCTAACGGGTTACCGGGGCTCCGGCTCGACGTGCAGGAGAAGGAACGGGGTGGTTTTTAGTCAGTAAGAGTCTGATACTCCCTCCCGCCTCACCCAGGCGGGAGCAGTCACTCGATGATTTTTCACCTTAAAATAAAAAAAAAACTACTTCGGAGATAAAAAGGCGTGGTGTTAAGTTTATGTTATGTCTCATGTGCAGGGAGCAAGGAGTCTTCAGCTCGATCTCATTTTTCTTTTGAGGAGGGAGATCATCCAATGGCTTATCCCGCCTGGGTGAGGCGAGAGGGAGTGTCAGACTCTTACTGACTAAAAACCACCCCGTTCCTACTCCTGCTCTTCAAGCTGAAGCCCAAGCAATCAGTTAGGTCTTAGGTCCTCCACGGTTCTGTATCGGCATCAGCCCTATTGGGCCCCATCAGTAATGCTCTTTGAGGTGTGCGCGTAACGCGACGCTCCGTCGGCTCAATACCTGAGGCAAAATACCTACTAAATAGTAATTTAAATATAGAAGATCCAACAGTCAAACTATTTATATATAGTTTTGTTGGACATGGCGTTAGATTATAAGGCATACCATGTACCTTTATTATTAATAAATAAATAAAAAAATTATAATATGTAATAGTATCATTGGAGACTTTTTCAGCTGTTCGATTACACGGCGTTCCTAATAAAATTAATGAAAAATGGGTGTCGTGTCTGCCTACCTCTTCTCGGACTAAAACCCTGTCTTAGCATGAAATAAACTTAATACAAGTACTATGGAAAATGCGTAGTAAATAATACTAATTATACAAATAAATATAATAACAATTCGAATAAACATTTGTTTTCACTTCCTCGCGTGAGTTTACAATGAGAATGCAAAATAGTAATCATTCAATGTACTCTATCGATGCAACGCGACTAAATAAAAATGACTTGTAAATTGCTATTGTCTTTATTGAATACATGACATTTACATATGGCCGGGTTATCTCCCCTGGTCAGGCAGAACGGAGCAAGCATGTTTAGTGTAATTTAAACATTTTGAAAGACAGACGTGTATTGCTAATATTTTTAGTAAATAGTTATCGAAAGAAATTCGTATTCATAGTGATTTCGCAAACGATAATCAATCCATTATTTATGTCTTAAAAATATTATAAATATTAAAATTGCCAATAACACGTTATTAATAAATCAAGATTATGTTTCAAAATAATAGGAATAATAAATAATAGTTATAATGTGCTAATTTACAAAATTATATCGTAATATTATCCAGCAATAAAATAAGTGAGTGTCTTATATAACATAACAGGTCCTAATAAATAATAACTAATATTAATTAACAGGTCGCGAATAATTGAATAAATAAAAGAACAGTTTTTTTATTAAAATGTCAAATTTAAGTTTCGAACGAGTAGTAATTAGTTCGTTATTTAAAAAAGTGTTGAAGATAGTGAGGTGACTATGACGTGGACTAAAGAGTTGGATGAGGCCGCAGTACTGGCCACAAAGACTGGCTATTGGCATGTGGTGCTCTTCTATTTACTCTGTGGACTGGCGGCCATACCTACTTCTTTCCTAGTATTTTCTCAGGTAGGTACTGTACTCTTATTTATTTTTTAAAATATATGCACTAGCTATATGGGCACGATAGAGCAGAGTCAAACACTTCCTACACAATCTTCCCGGGAGAAGAGCTGAATAAAGAACTCTTTTCTGTTATATCTGAACCTTTTTAAACTGCAGCCTACATACCTGTTAGGCGCGGAGACGATGGCAAACCTCTCTTATGCGAAAGAGACTCAGAATAAAGCAGTGAACTGCCGCGGGCGTGATAATGTCTCCTATAGTTCGTAGGTCCCTCAGTTAGAGGATCCGGTGCCCCTTCAGGTGCTCACGGTGGCCACCAGGGTGGTTTTAGCGAGATAAAAATCTCACTCTCCCTAATCTTTCTCCGCAATAATCTAGCCGACGTTTGTAGGTTTCCCTCTGTCATCAAAAAAAGGTTCTTCTGATAGCTACTGAAGGGCACCGGGCAGGTAACTACTGAAAAGTGCGAAAACCACTCTTCTTATCCCATAATACAATAATAGAGGATATTTCGAAATTAAACATCATCTGTAGCAACCATCGGCAGTCGACAGTAACCGGCTCCTTGTCGTTCTGGTGTTTTTTTTTAATGGGGGGAAAATCATCGAACTGCTCTCGCCCGGGTGAGGCGGGAGGGAGTGTCAGACTCTTACTGACTATAAACCACCCCGTTCCTTCTCCTGCACATCGAGCCGGCGCCCCGGTGACCCGGTTAGGTTCTCCGCGACTCCGAATCGGGTAATTGTGGTTGTGATGACAGAGGTCTTCTTGTGCAGCGCTTTCTTACCCTCTGGTGATGTACTGAAATCGGAAAATGCTGACATTAAACTGTAAAATCAAAAAACCCAGTGACCTAATAATTTGCAAGTTACAACATGTACCTAATTCTAGTATCACGTGTTTAATTCATAAAATATTTCTATTTAGTAGATTAGATATAGGTTTCGATATTCATAATTATAATTAATAATTGCACCATTAATTAGTCACACATACTTACAATTCTGTTGGTATTTGCCACGCCCAAACCTAATTAAATAGACATAATAGGTAAGGTAATTTTATTAGTCTTCATGATATGTAGGATCTGGTATCTATAACTCAATTTTTTAGAGAGAGAGAGAGAGACCTTAGACAACACATGGAAATTTAAAAGACTGCTTCGTTGACCGAGTATTCGCAAGTGCGACTGCCGGGCAAGGAGTCTCGGGTTCGATTTCCGGGTTGGACAAAGAATTACTGGGTGAGACTGGACTCAGTGCTAATACTGAGATCATACTGAGATCTTTTTAAAAAAAAAGATCTCAGTATTAGCACTGAGTCTGGAATTGCGTCCGGTATATGGCAATAGGCTCACCCTCTATTACATGGGACTCATAACATAAATAGTGATTAGTGGGTGTTACTTTGTACAATGGCAAGTGCCGTAATGTGCACCTCTGCCTCCCCTCCGGGGATAAAAGGCTTGATGTTATGTTATGTCAAACATTTTTTATTAAGGTTGCCAGTTGCCTCGTTGATTGATCGTGAGGATGCAAGCAGGACTATCAAGCAAGGAGTCTTTTTAACACAATCTTTTACCTGAACATGTTTATTAGGGATTTCAGCTTCAGTAAATCCGAAATCCCTAACAATTTGTGCAACAACAAGAGTTACTCCAAATTAGGACATAATTCAGATTCCATACTGAGAATTCCCCGGGCGTACGGCGCGTCGCGTTCCGCGCGCGCCTCAAGGAGCTATCAGACCACCACAGATGGGGCTGATGCCGATACGGACCCGCGGAAGACTTAACGGGTTGCCGGGGCTCCAGCTCGACGTGCAGGAGTAGGAACGGGGTGGTTTTTAGTCAGTAAGAGTCTGACACTCGCTCTAGCCTCACCCAGGCGGCAGAAGTCATTCGATGATTTTCGCCCTTAAAAAGAACCCATTTTTTGATACCAGGATTGCATACTCAACTACCATACGTTATACATGGTAGGTAAATATGCAATGTCAGAAATATCTCTATTTAAAAATAAACCATTTATATACAAAAATGGATATAAAAATAAATCCCTTTTTCTCTTGGTCACGTCATCACGCATGAATGGCTGGACCAATTGCACTAGGTAATTCTATTTTCGTTGTACCTACATATTCATTATCAAGAGAAGGTTCTTAAGACAGAATAAAATCCTGAAAATCCTAGGAACGGGAGAAAACGGGATTGCGCGTACGAAGTCACGGGCAGATGCTAGTATTATATAGCTACCTACATACATACATACTTGTACATAGGTACGGTAATCAACAAATATTTTTTGCTTGCAAAATAAATATCTCATAATATTTGTTTACCAATGTTCTAGTATTAATAGTTTGCATATGTAAATGACATGATTGGGGACGACATTGATATCCGCCAGCTTTTTATAAGAACCTTGTGGTTGATATTTGTCAGGTCACATGTACCTAAGTGACATTATAAAAAATGTTAAATTGAGGATGACTGTGTTATTTTTTAATAAGAACAATGTATTATAAACAATAATAATTGCCTCGTTAACCCAATGTTCGCAAGTGCAACTGCCTGGCAACGGGTCTTGGTGCGATTCCAGGGCCGGGCAAAGTATTACTGGCTTTTAAAAAAAATTCTCAGTAGTAGCACGGCGTCTGGAATTGTGCCCGATATATGGCAATAGGCTCAACCCCTATACATGGGACTTATAACATAAATAGTGAAAAGAGGGTGTTACATTGTACAGTGGCATTAAGTGCCGTAATTTGCACCTGTGTTTACCCCTTCGCAATAATAAATGGTTTTTCTTTCTTTCTTTATTTCCTTCGGTGATAAAAAGGCGTGATGTTATGTAATAAACTGTTGATAGACTGACCTAAAACCGTAATTGTGAATTTGTCGTAGAAGACTTCGAAACTTTTTATGTGATTGGGGCTAAGGGGCAGCGATTGATAAGCGAACAGCGTCATCTTTGGACACTGGCCGACCACCACAAGAGACTGTATTGGTATTTTAAATGACAATGGGATCAGGTAACCTTTCAAACAAAAAAAAAAATTAAAAATCGGTCCACAAACAACGAAGTTATCGGTGAACTTACATAAAAAAAAAACAACCATTCGAACATAGTATCTCGCTCCTTTTTTTGAAGTCGGTAAAAAGAAGAATGTGGTGCGATATTTTGAAGAAATTGAAGATCATTAATATTGTATACATAATTATTGTTATATGTACTTACATACATACATACTTATGTATAAGTTTTCAAATATACCAACATATATGTATAGTGTTTCTTGAATATTATGATTGTGAGATTTGTTATTTATTGTACTGGTACATTGCCTATTTATAAAGGTTTAAATCACTTGCTACTTTCATCTCTGCACTGCTTAAAGGTTGACTGGGAGACAATGCCCAAGGCATTAAGTCCACCTGTACACATTTGTTGTATGAAGTTGAAATAAATAAAATAAAATAAATCATATCTTGTTTTAAGATCTAAAGGTATACTCGGTTTGGAATAACAGTACTTATACTTCATTAGTTTGCTTAATATTTATAACCTTTTTGCGTCTATCTTTCTGGCGAATACAACAAATTCTGTTCAGTCGTTTAGGAGCACGAGTGTCACACTTCCTGTCCCATTTGGCTCGACCAACTGCAAATATTATAGGGCAAAGGGCTTTTCACCAGTATACAAATCTTTGAGAAACATCAGTTTATTTACAAACATTCATACCTACATAACATCACGCCTTTTATCCCTGAAGGGATAGGAATAGGTGTACATTATGCCACTACATTGTAACACCCACTTTTCACTATTTATGTTATGAGTCCTATGTAGGGGGTGAGCCTATTGCTATATACCGAGCACATTTCCAGACTCCGTGCTACTACTGAGAATTTTTTAAAAACCCAGTAATTCTTTACCCGACCCGGTAATCGAAACCGAAACCCCTTGCCCAGCAGTCGCACTTGCAACCGCTCGGTCAACAAGGCAGTATTTACAAACATTCTTTCAATATTATCAGTCATTTGTAAATTATTAAAAAGTACAAGTTTCAAGGCTGTTGTGATGATAAATGAAATGAAAACAACACGTTCCTTACGAAAATAATTGAAACGCCACTAAAATAAACATAGAACAAAGATCACATTAATTTGTTTTGAGATTTATTACTGTAAATATTGTAAACATTGAATGCTTACTAACAATTACTGATTGGGAACAACTCATTTATTTATGAAGCAAAGTTCAATCACCGCGTTTCATTTATAGGTAAACCAGCTTTTACCCGCGGCTTCGCTCGCGTCACAATAGGATAAAAAGTAGCCTGTGACGTAATAACATTCCAATACACACAGCGCCACCTATACCAATACTTTTGTTTTCCCTCGGGAATATCAAATTTTTCAGGGATAAAAAGTACCTTATTATTTAATCCGGACTTCTAACTTTACGTCTGCAAAAATTCAAAGCAATCAGTTTAGTAGTTACGGCGTTAAAGTGGAACAAACAAACAAACTCACTTTCCCATTTATAATAGTAAGGATTAGCTTCTGCCCACGACTTCTACGCGTAATCCCGTTTTCTCCCGTTCCAATAAGAGTTTCAGGATTTTTTTTCTATCATAAGAACCTTCTCCTGATGATAACAAACACAAAAAAATCAGCCCAGGTTTCCTCATGATGTTTTCCTTCACCGTTTGTCAGTGGTGTCTAAATAATCTTGGATAGTACATATAACTCGAAAATGCTCACATTGGTACATGCCGTTGGTAAGTTTCGAGCCCGCACCCTCATGTATGAGAAGTGGGCGTCTTATGTCGAAATACTGAAACGCTACTCAATTTTAAGTCTTCTCTACAAATTTCTGTCTCTACAATTTCTTTGTAAAATGACAGAGACGGCACGATATTTAAGCACGACTTAAAATTGAGTAACGTTTCAGTATTCCGGCATTAGTCGCGGAGAACCTAACGGGTTACCGAGGCTC